GGGGGGGGTTAGACTAACAAAAGTAGTGTTGCAATGTTAAATGCATGGTTGAAAAGGGTAGAGCTTGTGGTGTGAAGTCATGACACTGCTTTTGTCATTCTGATGCAAGCAGCAAGATCCTGTGGATGCCACTGCAGATGACAGCTTCTGGTCTTCAGAATCACCCCTTCTGGAATTGAGATGGGGTGATTGAATAATAAAAGTATCATCTGGAAGCAATCTCAATTCTTTGCTTGGTAGAATGTTTATTTTGGTTGCTGTGTTGCAAGCAGGTACCTTTTTATATCCATATACATTGCATCCATTAATCATTACAGGTAGTCCTCACTTACTGACTGCTCATTCAGTGACTGTTTGAAGTTATAACAGCATTGAAAAAGGAGATTTACGACCAGTCCTTGAACTTGTGGCTGTTGTAGCATCCTATGGTCACGTGATCACCATTTCTGACAAGCAAAGTCAGTGGGAAACTGGCAGGAAGTTGCAGGTTGTGGTCATGTGATGTCACACTTAACGACCACGGGTGATTTGTTTCATGACTGCAGCCAGAACTGACATTATAAGTTGGATCATGGTCACATGATGTATCACTTTATGACCACATTGCTTGGCGATGGAGTTGCCAGTCTCAATTGCAGTCGGTAAGTGAGGACTGCCTGTATAGGCAGTCTAATTGGACAGTAGAGACAGCAACCCCTGGCTGCCTTCGAAGAGAATGAAACTTTTTATTTCCCAGACAATGCTTCACTAATGTACAACTTATTCTCACCTCAGTTAGACTCTGGTAAAATAGAGCCTGCAGGAGTTCCACCTGCAGTTTTTCTTGTCTACTTTGAGAAAGATCTTTGATGCATCTTCTTTTGTGTAACACCACAATGAGCCTGCGTTGGATCTGCATTACCTCCAACTCACTACCTGGTTGCAGTCTTTCCACTTGCTCCTGAAGAGATAGTTCCTGAAAAGCAAACACTTGAAATCACAGCTACAGTTTCTTGATCACAAGTTGCGTACATAAAATATTACTTTTTCTATTGGAAGTTCAAAATTGCCCATTCTTTTTAGCCACTATAACTACAACACCAGTGACAAATACACCCACACCCACAAACACCCACACACGTGTGTGTGTGAAATGAATGAATAAGGCTTTCTGAGAACCTCTACTCATCTTGTGGAAATTACCTGATCTTCCCTCAATATTTCTTAAAAATTTTGTTAAGGGTGAATTTCTAAATTTAGTGTATATTTTGCTTTCTGTGACATTTGGTATCAAAGTAAGACACTCTTTTCCTACAAGTAATATATTCTCAGATATTTTGCCTGAGGAAGAACTCCCAAATGTATTGAAAATCAGCACTCTGAAATTGTCTTATAAATCAGGTTTTACAAAACAGTGTTATATCTACTATTTGGATTAATTTCGCTAGTTTGTCACAGTACTTCTTCCAGTCAACTGAGATGACCCATGAATAACAGGTTTTACTTGGGCATTTGCCCATGTCTTTCTTTATACATTATACACAAAGATTTTACCTTTTCTTCCTGGGAGGCTAGAATCTTCTCAAAAGCCTCGTGTTTCTTGATCTGCTGCACCACTTCATCCACACTACTTCCAAAGTCACAGCTTTTCAAATACATCTGTGAAAAATTGGAACCAATTCTGGCAATATTGTTTTTTTAAAAAAAAAAAAATCCATGGAATTATGGGGCCATATCTGTTGCTTTCTTGAATGAAAGTCAGGAAACATTAGATGATCAAATGATTCTAGAATGATCAAATTATTCTAGGAGACTTCAAGGTTATGTTTCTTATAGAACTCTGAATTCTTCTTAGTCTAGGTATTCGGATTAATCAAGAAAAGAGGGATATAGCAATAGCCTGTTTTTTCTTTTTCTTAAATAATCTTTTCAAGAATTCCAGACAGACAGTCATGCTCAATGGATAACTGACATAAAGATATGCCTTAACAGAAAGGCATAACACTACAAATATATGCAGTAGGATAATGCACGCTACATAGAAAAAGCCTAAAATGGTGGAACATGACACTATTGCAACAAGGTATTCCCAACTTTATCTTTGAAGTCAATGGAGGTTGTCTTCAATCAGCAAAGATATTTTAACTTGAAAAAGTATTGCTTGAAAATTAGGCAGTGGAATAAGGATAAGGAATGTTGAGGATTAATGAGAAAGTACCAGACTGAATTCATTAAGAAATGGGAAAACTTGATAAAATTGAGATCATAGATGATATTTTGCTATTAACCAAGTAATTACATCCTCTTAACTCTGCAGATTATGCTTGGTATTCTTGTTTGATGTTCTGGCAAAAAAGCTAAATATGGCAAAGGCAATTTGATAGCGTTCAGATTTTTGGACTACAGTTCCCATATTCCCTAGTTAATACAGTTAATGGTCAGGATTATGGAAGCTGTCACCCAAAGTATGTAGAGGTCACCAGGTTTCTATCCCAATTCCCTCTTTGATACATCAAAATTGTTGCCTTTATGTATTTTATTCTTTATTCTTTAGCATGATCAAACTGTTGAAAGCATATGCAGTTTCAAACATCCTTCATGTATTACACACTTACATAGAAACGTAGCTGCTAAAGTGCTACAGCATGCTTTGGATCACTTCAACTGAGGTATTTTTGTTTGGAAATGTAACGCATTCGTATTCAAAACTGAGCAAAGAATATCAAGACACAACAGGGCTGCAGCTTATGGACTCTGGCGTCATTCTCAAAGACCCATTGCTATACCAGCCTTCCCTCTTATACTGAATGGGTAGTGAGAAGCATTCCTTCTGCACAAATGCTTCCAACAGGGCTCTGAATTGTGGAAAAAACATCTAAGTACTTTTCTGTCATATGATTCCCTCAATTGATATAACTCCATGGCCTCTTCGTCAGTTGAAATTCTGTACTGAGACAACTGAACAGACTAATGCATACATATTTACCTGATTGATCAAAAGAGAAGGGGGGGGGGCTGTGTGTATTTAGTTGTGTGGTGTCAATTGGGAAGGGTTGGACCATTGTCTACATGTACTGTATTTTTAAAAGGATAGGTTAGGATGTGTACAGTATGATGCTATATTTCCATTTGGTATGGTTATAGTGAACTCTTGCATTCACTTTTGTAAGAGAAGACCCTTCATTCTGAGATACAGAGGTACAGAGAGCTGATCAATAAAATTTTCCAAGGCAAACAGCAAAACATTGGAAATAATTATGTGTGAAGTAAACATGATCATTCTTTAAAAACTACTTATTTGTCTCACTAGAATTTGTAAGATGTAATCATGCTGCACAATAGAATGAGTCTTTTTTTTTTTGCCATTGTTATAATTTTTTGACGAAGTGGATTGCCAGTACAAAACTCCAAAATTTATTTTAATTAAGAAATGTAAATGTACCTCTTTTTTGCTTAAGTGAGGAGAATTAAAAACAGTTGTACTTTCTAAATTGCTGTCATCAATTAATTTCTTACATTTTTAGTTCCACATAATTGAAAATAAAAACACCTATCTGTCATCCAAAATCCAGCAGTGGTATATGAGCCACCTGGATCCTCCAAATGGTCACTCATGTCCTAGTCACCTTGGGTGTGGAATATTGCAATGAGCCCTATATGGGGCTGCCCTTGAAGTTTATTCAGAAACTGCAGCTGGTCCAGAATGTAGCAATGAGCATGCCATGATAAGTCCAGGTAACACTGCTACTCAGCAAGCTGTACTGACTGCCAGTTAGCTTCTGGTGCCATTCAAGATGCTGGTCACCACCTCTAAAGGCCTTCATGGCATAGACCCTGGCTATCTGAGGACTGTCTATCTCCAATAACTTCTGCCTGTCCTCAAAGATTGGACAGACTGGGCACCTACCAGGTCCCTTTGATTAAACAATGTCACCTGATGGGATCCAGGAAGTGGGCCTTCTCTGTCATGGTGTCTGCCCTCTGGAACACCATTTCCCAAAGATCTGTATGGCCCCCAGCCTGACTATTTTTAAAAAATATTTGAAAACCTGGCTTTTTTCCAGACCTTGGGTAGCAAGCCTCTTTTGGAATTTTATATATATTTGAATGTTTTCTTCCAAGTTGTACATTGTCCTTTTTTATTATTTAGGTTTCTATTGTTTTTAATACTGTATGCTTGTGGACTCTGGCGTCATCCCAAAGACCCACTGCGATGCCAACCTTCCTTCTTATACTGAGTTGGGTAGTTCCATAAATAAGATAAATAAATACATTTTGGGGTGGGGCATAGATGAGAACAGAAAGCCCCCTTGTATAAGTAAGTATTTCACACTGTTATCTTCTCTTTAAAATTACCATCTTTAATATATGAAAATTTAAGTAGATCTTCCTTTATGTGATTCACTTTATGTTACATAGCAAGTGCTTAGAGTGAATAGCTGCAAACATAAGACAGGCAATTGAATACTATAATACAATGCACAGTAAATATGAAGACATGTGTTACAAGGGATTCCATCCAGTGTCATGCAAATAGAGGGCTGTTCACACAAGAGAACTTCCCCTTGCTCTTCTCCCCATACCCACTCCAAACTGATTCCACTCAGATTGTCATGGCCTCATCTGAAGATGGTATCTGAGAAGACAACAGATCAAGACGTTCCAAAGAGATTTCTTCACATGCTGAGTTACACCCTAATGCAGGACTGGAGTCAGGACCTTCTGTCCAGAATTCTGATCTAGATTCAATGTTGCTGCCACTCACCCAACCCCTGTGAAGGGCATCAATACAAGGGTGACTATCGGAAATGGGAGAGGTGCTTATTTTTGTTTCAATCCCACCTTAGGCACAATATGTGCATATCAAACTGCAGCTGCCATTGAAAGCTTCATTACACATGACAATTTGTGGAAACAGACAGCATCTTTGCACAACTGTGTAAATACGGCAGCAAATTTGAGCAGCATTAATGAAAGCAATACTCAGAGTGGCATTTCATATTTAACATTATGGCTCCTGAGGCCACTCCTTCAAGTATCTATCAGCTTATCTCAGGCTGAAGAATGGTATGCCCAATGTCCTGTTGCAATAATACACAAGAGATTTCCATAAAAAATAATAATAGAAAAGAACCATCATACACATGGGAAAGCAGGATTCTGCATTCTAGAACTCCATTTCAAGTTCTACACACTGATTATCTCTATACTGTACATATGGTCTGAACACAGGACTGAAACTATGTTCATATTTTGTTAGGATACAAGTGATAAAAATACAGAGCGTTGGGCAAGCAATACATAAGGGAATGTAGAGCCAGTTAATTGTATTGTTTCCTACAAATTCATTTACTACAGAGCTGCCTGCCTCAGATTATAACAAAGTGCCAGAGAGTTCTAGAAAAGCCAATAAAGGAATGGGCTGTCATGAAACACAGAGTTATTTCTCCATCACTGTCACAACATTTATTTTGAAATATTCTCTGTAAAATCTAAGTATTCCACAAAGTATGGCCCATGAGCAATGTCAGGATTTACCTTGCATAATCTCTTTCTATTTACATAGCAGTGAGATGCAGCTCATGATTAAGGTTAAATTTTACTTCTTTTGCAGACAAACCTTACCATGAAAAAGTAAAGATTAAGAGAAATCAAGTGACCTTTCAAAAGTCTTTAAAAAAAAAGAAAAAGTGAACAAAAATGCTTATACAGAATAATGACAACTAGACATGTATTTTTCAATTCAGTCTGAATTCTCCATTGAAATAATACTGTTTTAAGACATGGCAACTATTTTCTCTGTTTCATGGAAGTCGTTTAAAACTCTGCCTTCCATCAACCTGTTGTCAGAATGGAGTCATAATGGAAGACTTACACTTTTGTATTCTGCATAATATACACCACTGGTTTTTACATTTGTTCTTCATATTTTCTTTTCCTCCAGCTAAGCTAGTACTGGAGCTAGGAGGGCTCTAATACCTTCTCCCCAAAACAGATCCATGTCCAAATCTATTCTTCCCTGGTGTAAGTTGACAAGCTTATAAGTTATTTCCAGAAAAAAGAATTTTTTAAAACATATTTTTGTTTTGAAAACATATGTGTATGTGTATGTATATATACACACAGTCTCTCTCTCTCTCTCTCTCAATACATTGATGGGTCTTACTAATAATTATTTGCTGACATAAATAGTTTTCATACACACATACACACGTACCCACATGAGTATATACACGCATACACACAACTGGGAAATTCAGCAAATTCAAGCAGCATTTGGCACACACACAGAGAAAGATCTATTTTACTAAAATCCCATATTTAGGGTCACTGAAGGCATAACTTGTTTTACTACATGTGAAAGCCTGAAAAAGCAGAATTTAAGCAACAACTGGCAAATGGGCTTCTAAAATCAAGAAGAGACAAACCCATCCCTATACTCCTTCAGCTCCTAATCATCATATTTAAAAAAAAACAAAAGTACTTTTGAAGGCTTCGTCACTCCTAGAAACGTTACAACATATTAACATAAGAATAAATAATACAGTTAGTTAAAACTAACCTCAGAACAAATTACAGTTTAGATTGCATGTTTCTAAAATGGAATAGAAATCTTCACCACTTTCCTCCCAGTTCCAAAGGAAGCGATTTTTACCGAG